TGTGTGTGTGTGTGTGTGTGTGCGTGTGTGTGTGTGTGTGTGTGTGAGCAGACAGCTGTACCAGTGTTTCTAAAGCCCAGACTGGTAGAGAATAGGCACTAAGGTTAAAATTTGACAAGAATCATTACATTTTTATGCATTTAATCTTCTGATTTACGTTTATAATTTCTCAAGACAGCTAAAAAGGAGGTAACTTGTAAATATTTTACAGGAGGAAAAATATCTAGATATATATCGTGTGCGTGTTTTGTTTGATTTGGTGATTGTGTTATGATGATGTAAATGACTCTGCTGTCTTATCTGCTATTTTGTTGTATAATCTGAGGACCCACTCGAAAATGAGATGACACATTTCAAGTGGTTTCTATCCTCATAAAATATAAGTTAAATAAATAAAATATCATATATCGGAATTCAGCAAAAAGATATTGAGATGTAAGTTTTGATCCATATCGCCCAGTCCTAGTCTCAAGTCTATTTTTTATGCACTACTCTTCTAAAACATGTCAAACTCTGCAGTTTAGATCGGGACAGACAGGAAGTCAAAACACAAAGCAGTGTAAAGCATCAGGAAACTTTCTAAATAAAAGTCACATGCAGATAAACATGCATCAAATCCTGTGAGACCCCCATGATTTTTTTAACAATTTTTTTCATTCACCTTTAGGTGTGAATGAAAAAAATTTCAACAAATATTTTTTGTAAAATTTTATAATTTACAAATCATTTTTTACACGTCCACCTCAGTGGACAGCGTGCATTCTGAACATGAAATATGTTGGCTTGGCTTACTGAAGTCCAAATGGAGAGGCTCACATGCAATAAAGTCTTCAACAGCTGTGCTTAATAGCAAAAATAAATAAATAACAATTTTGAGTACCTGTCCACTAGGGTTGTCACGGTAACCGGTATAGCGGTAAACCCCAGTAAAAAAGTTGACAATAAAAATAACCGTCCAGTTTTTAAAAAACTAAATTATCTCGGTGGGTTTACCGTGGCCGCGGTTTCGGCGCGGTGACCCTTACCAGCCACCGTCGCTTCAGCTGAAGTTCCCGCGGCACGCACACGCACTTTTTAGTTTGCAACGGCACCAAAACTTTGAAGCTGAAATAATGGCCGAAGGAGGCGACGGCAGCGCCCAGGACATCCATCAGCCCTCAAAGAAGACTCAATCGGAAGTATGGGCATATTTTGGATTTCTGAAAAATGCTGAGGGACAGTTAATAGAAGACGGCTATCCCGTTTGCAGAACGTGCAGGAAACAAGTGTCTGCAGAAGGCAGCAACACTTCGAATCTAATGGCACATCTGAGTGACCATCACCCACGTCTCTACAGCCAGTGCAAGGTAAGTTAACATTAGCATTTTAGCTGAAATGCATGACGTGAGGACTTTTGGTTGAGGGAGAATGCAACGAGTCACTATATACTGCAGCCGCAGCGTCCTCTGCCAGCATTTAAACCGTGTCACGGACACCCTGTTGCTGGATGAAGCATCTTATTTGTTGATGATGAAGAGAAATATACAATTAGTTCCTTGTCATTGATTTGTTTACTTATTCAATGCCATTTATACTTGAACGTTTGGATTTGATTACATAGTGTAGTAGTTATTTTAGTAATTTGTTTAAAGTGGCTATTTGTTTTAAATACATATTTTTTAAGGTTGACTTGTACAGTGCTCAAGTCAAGTGTGGACTGGAGTTTTAGATTTTCATTTTGATAATGAAGAAAACAAGTATATGAGAAAACAAGTGGTGTTTCTTTGATTTGTTTACATATTGTTTATGTTTTGAATGTTTGGATTTGTATAATTTAAACCTGCACTGACTACTGTAACATGTTCCAGAAAAATAAGCTATTTGTTCCTTTACTTGTGAAAAGTTGCACTTTTGCTAAGGCTTTGTGTTATTTTAGGTTTAATAAACACTGTTAAACCTTTTCAGAACTATTTCAGTTTGTGTAGAACAGGACTATCAATGCTTTCTGAACATATGCAACACCGTTTACAAAATACCGCGATAATACCGAAAACCGTGATAATTTTGGTCACAATAACCGTGAGGTTAAATTTTCATACCGTGACAACCCTACTGTCCACTGTAGTGACCATTATGCATCAAAGGGTTAAAAGGCACAACAAAGTAAATCTGTGATTCCAAAGAAGGATTTGCTCAATAACAATAATAATAATAACAATAATAATGGTTGATTTTTGTGATTGTTTGTAACCAAAATGCAAACTGAAATCCAAAATAGATGACTGCTCAGCCCATATAACCTAGGCTTTTTTAATCACTTGATTATGACTATGAATATCAGTGAGAACGAGCTGCATCCCTGCAGTCCAGACACAGCGGGAACCTGTTGTAAGGTAAAGACACTTTTGTCCACAGCAGACAAACTTGAACATTATCCCTGCTTTATTCACATGCTGCACGATTAACTCTGACCCACGCAGGCATCGTTTGGGTGTTTCCATTGGCAATAAATAGAAAAGGAGCTTTTCTCTGAAGAGTTTACTTTCCATGTTCCTCTTTATGTTTACGTACAAATCAAACTGAAGTACGTCTCAGCGACCAATGGTGATAATAGATCTTGAAAGCTCTACTAGGCAAATGAATGAATGTTACTACAAAAACACACAGGGAAACTGCGACTCCACAGGCTCTAGAATAAAGCAAATACAGCGACAAAGTAGGTAAAAGCAATTATATGAGTTGAATTTAAAAGGAAAGCTGAACTAAATCACCTGAAAGAAATGAGGCATGCTTGGGAGTCTGGTTGTAGAAGAGCATCACTTCAAAATGGAAAAATCAGTATGCTGAACTAAATCTAGATGTTTGTTTTCCCTTCTATAAAACTTAAGTAAGAAGTGAGAGCAGCGTTGGGTGGGAGCGTGGGGTTAAATATGCAGGGCACCGTGGAATTTTAATCCCCTCCAGTCTTAACTGTAAAAGCCCCCCCGTCCTCCACTAGTTTCCACTTCTTGGCTGCATCCTATGACTGGCTTCATTGATTTGCCCTCTTGCCCCTTTAATTATTAACATATCAGCCCCTTTTGCTGATGTTCCTCATCATGTCATGTGTTTGCATTTAGCCCCCACACACAAAAGGAGCAGGCCTTAAATATCATGACACAAACACAGCCAGAGAAGAAGTGAAAGGCATAAAAGCCTCGTTCACAATGTTACAGGAGAATGTTTACCAGATCACTGCCGGCTGCTTGGATTTCACAGCCATAGGAGTCTCCGCTGAGGAAGCCTGGAAATAAACACAAGCCTGGCCTCGTTCAGCGGGGGGGCTGGACTCCTGGGATGATTACACCTCCTTATTGTTATGAATTACCTACAAGTATTTCCTAAACGAAGACTATGTTTACCCAGCGGACTGGTGATACTGTGTGTGCCAGAAGAATGCGTGGCCAAAAGTTTCACTGCTACTTCCCTCTGACTTAATCAGCTGTAGTACTAAAAAAAAGCACTGGCATTGATTTATTTAGTAAATGATTTAAATGTAGCTAGCCTTCTTTCTGAAAGGACAATTAAATGGTTATTGACTTTATCTTGGGCTGCACGATATTAGTAAAACTTGTGATGCACCATAACAGTGATTACGATATGACTTGCAATAAATACATAAATACTTAACTCAAGAACAAAAAAAGATCAAAACATTATAGAAAATGAGAAAAGCATAAATTGTTAACAAAAGATGTGAGGAAAGGAAAAAAGAAAAAGTCATCAGTGGATCCTGGGAAAAGCAGAACCGGCAGAAGCTAACTCAGGTGTTTGCTAGCCATTTAAATTAAGTGCTATCTGCCCTAAGGGGCGGGCATCTAACCTATAATAACTCACCCGATTGGCCAAATGGGTGAAGGGCTCTATTTGATTTGTCAAAAACTTCACGCTTATGTTTGATTGACAAAATGCATAATGTGTAGCAAACATTTGAGCTGACCATTCATTGCCGGGGGGTGGGGGGGGTTCTGTTCTTTGCGATATGCATATGCCTATATCGTGATACATTTGTAATGTATTGTGCAGCACTAATTTCATCCCATAACCTGTTGTTTGAAATAAAATTTAAGAACAATTTTTGCTTAAAATCATAACTAATTGTTTGTACTGAAATGTTTTCCCATTTGTGTTTACCTTTATATTAACTTTTCCACCTTAAAAGTGTAGAGACTTAAGCTGTTTTTTTAATCCATGGAGTGACCATCTCCCCTATTTAGGAACTGACTTCCTTTGATGTAATAACCATGTAGTTAACGTGTAATAAACATTTAATAAAGATGACTGAGATGTTTCACAGCAAAACATCTTAAGACTACCTCGGAACTGCTTGATGCTCACGTTGCTATCTTAAAACATAACAATTTTAGCAGTTTTAAAAACAAACGTTAACTTTTCCGTCAGAAGCCAGTTTTGTAACCCAGTGCCATTTAACCCTTTGATGCATGAATTATGAAATCTTCAACCATGATTTTTTAACAGCTTTTTCATTCATATTTGGGTGTGAATGAAACAAATTTCAACAAATATTTTTTGTAAAATTTTATAATTTACAAATAATTTATTACATGTCCACTTCAGTGGACAGCGTGCATTCTGAACATGAAATATGTTGGCTTGGCTCACTGAAGTCCAAATGGAGGGGCTCAAATGCAATAAAGTCTTCAACAGCTGTGCTTAATAGCAAAAACAAATAAATAACACTTTTGAGTAACTGTCCACTGTAGCGACCGTTATGCATCAAAGGGTTAATAACATGATATTAAAAGTTAAAAATAATAAACAGTTGCCTATATTCAGTTTCTGTTTCTTAAAAAAGGTGATCCAAGCTTCGCTACTTGATGCTAACGTTGCTAGCTTAAGAATGCCGGGCTCTATGCTAGCACTTGGGAACTTTAGTAGCTCCCCTGGAGAGCTGCTGGTCCCCACTTGTGACCCACAACTGTCCTCTGAGGTTAAGAAGAGGCCTGGAGGGTAAAACTCACCGTTGATTCCTTTGTTTGGGACGTCGTTAACGTTTAAGCCTTTGGAGGTGAAAGCAGCACGAACTTCGTTACAGTTTTTTAACTTTTGCTCCGCAGCCGCGGACAGCACAACCAGCGTGGAAACACACAGCAGCAGAAGCGTCTTCATCTTTGTTTTCATAGGAAAAAATTAAATTTAATAATAATAATAAAAGAGCAGCCGCTCAGGTGCGAGTAGCTAAAACACTAGTGAGTTTGAGTCCCACGAAGAAGCAGCGCTGATTTCTCCCGGACTCCATTCACAGCAGCTCCGAGGCCAGCTCCAAACTACCCGGTCCGACGGGGAAAAGTTCAAATAAAAACACCGAAAATACGCCTATAGCAGGCTCAAATGTCCTCTAGAAAAGCTGCAGTCTTGGGAAAAATGTCAAGTTCCAGACTCGACAAACGAAGAAAAAACGTAAAAAAAACTGCGGTTTAAAAAACTTTCTCTCAAACTGAGGCGACAGTCTCAGCCACACAAGCGAATTTCACCGAAAGTAAAAAAAAATAAAATAAAATAAACACGGGATGAGAGACACGACTACAGAAAGTTGCCTGGACAAAGTTGGGTCTATAGTCGTCCGTTTATTTTCTTCCTCTCCAAACTTGAAGGCTCCGTGGCTTGTGCGGCTCCGGGACGGGGCGCTGGGCTGCTCGCTACTCCTACTGGGATCCAGATGCGAGCCAAATGCCCCGGTGGACACCCAGGAGCGAGAGCGAGTTCCGGGGACAAAGAGCAGGAGACCGGGAACACCAGGGCTGGAGCAGGAGCGTCCAGAACCTGGATCTGCTCAGGTTTCTGGCTTTACGACGACAAGAGACAGACTGGTGTCGAAAATCAGGACTGGAGCTGAGGGTGGAGCCACACAACAGCAGGCCCGGGCTGATTACTGACCCAAAAGTACAAAATCACATACATAAGAGTCAAGCTGAAGACCCCAGAGTCACAACTATCTCTCATTTATAGTGTGAGCTGTGGAAAGAGAGTGCTCTCCTATTGTTTCTGTGGAGATCACACAAGTTACAACAATATTTGAAGCAAAAAGACACTTCTTTGAATGCCTATAGAATGGAAATACCCATCATTTTCCCACAGCGGGGATATGTGTTTGTACTAGCAGCAAAAACATAGCAGATGCTACCACAGTGGCATGACTGCAAATGTCCCTTATTGTGATGTCACAATAAGGAAAACCAAAATAAACCCACCTCCACCTGTCGACACTCAGCTAGGCGTCTGCTCTTAATGTGGAGGAGCAGCAGCTCTACTCCAAGTCCCTCCCAGATTTCTGAGCTTTTACCCTCATAGCAGCCAGTCATGGGATGAGTGGGCATGGCCAGCAGCAACTGGTTTTATTTAATTGACAGAACCCTGAAACAACTCGTTCTGTAAGGCACAGAAGCTGGTGATATGATCTTTTGTGAGGCTGAATTTATGCAAATAATCTAATGAAAATGTTTTTTTATTGACATTATATATAACCTTTAATATATATTGAATATTTTTCATGGAAAGTTTTAAATAGCACCACAATACCCCTCACAGGGGTACAGTTCCCTGAACAGCCTTGGTTTGGAGAAATAGATTTTATACCCTAAAGTTCTCAGTCCTAGTTCCGGAGAGCCGGTATCCAGCACGTTTTAGTTTTAACCCTGTTTCAACACACTTGATCGCAATCAGCAGATAATTAACAGGCTTCTGCAGAGCTGGATGAGCTGCTGAACAGATGATTCAACCATTATGTGCTGAGTACCAGCCGTCCAGGACCAGGATTGAAAACCCCTGCCCAAAAGGACTGATGCTAATGACTAGTCTGAGTGTAGCCAAGAACTAGATGTATTGCTGTAGAACACCCCTAATTATGTACATTTTTTAGCATGTCGTGTACTTTTATTTTATAAACATTTACAATGCCAATAGTTATTAATGAGCAAAATATTACAGACAGCAGGAAGATGGAGAGAGAACTTCCTGTACGTGTACAGCGGAGGTCTATCAGGAACATATTACAACCTCAGTTTAAGCTTTGGTGTGGAATCAAAACGTATGGTGCAATAAAGAATTAGAGGATAACATTTGTTGACACTGCTGAAAAATAATATGTTGTATCCTTTATTTCTATTCGCTGGTGAAAGTTCTCAGTCATCCAGGTCATGGCTATCCAAAGAGGTTCAAATGGAGGCAACTGGACTTCTTTGCTTTCTTGAAGACATTTCGCTTCTCATCTGAGGAGCTTTGTCAAGTCTGACAGGAATTTGGGAGAGTCGAGTTTATAAACTGTAGCTGTCTGTTGTTGCTGAAACCACCTTTGAACATCCTTCCATCCATCCATCCATCCATTTTCATCTGCTTATCCAGAGTCTGGTCACGGAGGCAGCAGCCTGAGGCGAGAGGCCCAGACTTCCCTCTCCCCAGCCACTTGGGCCAGCTCTTCCGGGGGAATCCCAAGGCGTTCCCTGGCCAGGTGAGAGACATAGTCCCTCCAACGTGTCCTGGGTCTCTCTTTAAGGCTCCTCCCAGTTGGAAGAGCCCGGAAAACCTCACCAGGGAGGCATCCAGGAGGCTTCCTGACCAGATGCCCGAGCCACCTCAACTGGCTCCTCTGGATGTGGAGGAGCAGCAAATCTACTCCAAGCCCCTCCCGGACGACTGAGCTTCTCACCCTATCTCTAAGGGAGAGCCCAGCCACTCTTCGGATAAAACTCATTTCGGCCTCTCGTATCAGCGATCTCGTTCTTTCTGTCACTACCCAAAGCTCATGACCACAGATGACGGTAGGAACGTAGATCGACGGTAGAACTTCGTCTTCTGACTCAGCTCTCTCTTCACCATGACAGACCGGTACAACGCCCGCATCACTGCAGATGCAGCGCCAATCCGTCTATCGATCTCACGCTCCAGTTTTTCCTCTCTCATGAACAAGACCCCGAGGTACTTAAACTCCTCCACTTGGGATAGGACCTCATCCCTGACTCGGAGAACCACCCTACCCATTTTACTCTATGAACACCCCATCCTCCCTAACGCCTCATGAGTTGTTTATGTCGTTATGTTCTATTGTGTTTATTTCTATTATTGTCACTTTGACACCTAGATAACTGTAACTGCTTTCTTCAGAATAAAATGCGTTACATGTAAAAATAGGCTTTTTAAAAATGTTTTAGTCAACCTGAGATGAGAACTGTTATTACCTTTACGAAGGAACACACTCAAAAAATGGCTGAAATTGTCTCTCTAAGTCTCTTTTGATTCCATGTTGGTAACCATAACAGGTTCTTGTAGTCGTGAACCTCATAATTTATTCACCAAACGGTTTGAAAGGAGCGGACTATTCCTGCGTCGTGTTTTCCTGCCCGGTATATCAGCGCTAGTTTAAACCTCGTGGATCAGGACCTGACAAGTGTTTTGGCAACCACAGAGTAAAAAAAAGAGACAGGCCTGTTCCTTACACAAACACGGGTCAGCCTGTGTCCTGTTACCAGCCGGCCAGTTGTGTCTCCACTCTGCAGCTGCTTGTCACGCTGGTAGCAGCAAAGTACAGTAAACAGACTGCTGAGGGAGAAACGTTGACGTGTGGAGGTCTAAACAGCCAAGTGTACGTTTGTCCATGTGTGAACATCCTTCTGTAGGTGTTTGTTAGAACGACACATACCAAAGCACGATTCTTCCAGTGACCTTTGCCCCATTTGCGACGTGGGTAGACAAACCAGATAAATTTGAGTTAAATAGCACGTGGACACCGTGGATGGCCGTAATCTAGCGCACCCCGATCCACTGTAATCACATTCATCATCCATCTTCATGAAAAGCTGCAAATATTTGGAAAGGTTCTCCAGAATATGGAGAAGATCATTTTATAAGGTGCTCAAACAGTCGAACAAGCAGGGTAGAAGTGGTAATGAGACTTTTTACCCCCTGCATTTAAACATTCCTTGATTGTGTGCATGTGTGTGTATGTGAGTGTGTGTGTGTTCATGTCCGTTGGTCTGGGGGGGGTAGCAGCACTCAGCAAAATGACATTCCTTCTTTTGTGTCCACATTCCTGAGGCGGCTCCATTCATTCTGTGTGACTGCTGCTGCTGAGGAGGAGGAGGATGCTGGAGCAGAGCACATGGGAGAGCGTGGGCCCGGCACTCCTCTCAACAGGCCAACAAAGGCTAAGAAAATGGTTTAGCGCCATGGTAATTAGACACGAATGAGCTTTGAACGACGTGACATGTCTCAGGCTTTTTCTCTGTGCAGGAGGAATTTTCAGCGTCCAGCCCGGTTAAATAAATCGGACCTGACCGGGAGGAGGGCGGGCGGCGGAGTTTGTGCACGCTTAAGCCCCTGGATTGCAAAGTTATTTCAATTTACATGCACTGTTTGATGACCCCGGTGGTACCCAAGCCCAAATTTCTTTGTGTGATTGTTACATTTTGCTGAAATACATATTCATCAGTCCAGCTGAAGCCACACTGCTCCTCCTAGTCAGCTGTTCTAACTGCTCCTGCTGACTAACTACCCCTCCGACCTTAACTCTGGGTTGCTTCAACCAATATTTCCTTAAGAAAACATGTGCGCTCTGCATTTCAATAGGTCTATTTGCCCATTCTCAAGCCTGCATTAGCATTCAGAGTGTACACCCCCCCCCCCCCCCCCCCCCAGGGCTGGCTGCTGCCCTCCCCACAGCCAGCTTTTGCTCATCTCCTAATAATCTGCTGCAGTTTTCCATCGTAAAGGCTGCGACCTAGATCAGGAGAGGAAAAGCACCGCTGGGTGATAATGGAGTTTTTGTCTGCTAGGTGAGAAAAGTTGCAGCAGGATTTTGCAGAGATGGAGACGTGTGAAGCTGTGACAGCAGATAAGCCTTTAAAACTGCACCAAAACACAAACAGGTAGCACAATTAGCACCAATTAACTGATAGATGTTAACCGATTAGGGTGAGCCTGGGGGGAAACCGATCAGACTCAAACAATTAGAGGAGATCTCCCTCCCAGAGCGCTCCATCGTCCCTCAGGTGAAGTGAGCACATGTCCAGAGAAAGTTCCAGCTTTGAAATCAGTCGGGGTGAAAAAGCACAAAGTTGCAGGAATTCCTGTGTCCTCCTCTTGACATCTCCAGTGCGATAATCATTTTCTCTGCATCCATTCATGGAGAATTCCCTCTGGATCAGTCAAATCAGGGACATTCACTGTCATGTGATTTGTCATTTCTCACTTTCTTCAGCCTCTTTTCATCTTTTGCCACGGATCAAATGGTTTCTACCCGTTTCAAACTCATAAAACATTTAGCCTGAGAGTCAAACCTTATATTCTACAATCGTCTCTTTAGGCTGCTTTTTTCGCTCTGCTCATATTTGAGAGAACCTGGCCTCAAAATTAAGATCCACTTTTTGTCTGGGACTGAATTCAGCCCAACACACAGCTAACACCTTGGTAGTCCTCACTCCTGGTCCTGCAGGGCTGGTATGCAGCATGTTTTAGTTTTAAACCTGCTTCCACCACACACCTGATTTCAATCAGCAGGGGATTAACAGGCCTCTGCAGAGCCTGATGAGCTGCTGCACAGGTGAACCATCCACTGAATCAGACGTGTTGGAGCAGAGAAACAAGAAAAACATGCTGGACACCGGCCCTCCAGGACCAGGAGTGAGTACCACGGGTGTACGTGTTAATAATTCAGCACTGAAAGAGTCATTCAGGTCCTCTGAAGTGTGTTAATATAGTATCTCACCTGGTTTATCCGGCTCTATGAGCAACCTCACTTTGGAGAATTGGAGATGAGTTCTGATTGGTTTGAGAAGCTAACAGCTAGTCGGAGCATTCTCTGTTCAAAAGCTGGTTCCT